TCTTTTAGTTTACATTTTAGCAATTAGATAAATGTATTAGATTTCGCATGTATTAAACTAATTTTTAATGACCTTTTTTCAAATGTTTATTTTTTTTTTTTATACTTTAACACCTATGTATTCATACAGTGCTTCTATTGCCGCTGCAGTACTTTTCTTACCATTTGGACAATTACATATATTCTCCTTGTATAAATTTTACATTTTACCAATTAGATAAATGTATTAGATTTCGCATGTATTAAACAAATTTTTAATGACCTTTTTTCAAATGTTTATTTATTTTTTTTTATACTTCAACACCTATGTATTCATACAGTGCCTCTATTGCCGCTGCAGTACTTTTCTTATCATTTTGACAATTACATATATTCTCCTTGTATAAATAAAAACTTCCTACGATACTTTAAAGTTTATCGGGGATGCATGTTGTCTAATTCGAAAGGTGCCAATGAGTGACTCACTTGATAACGCCATCCTCCATGTAAATGTCAGCGCAGAAGGACTGGTCATCGTTGACGATCTTCGCTCCTTTGATCAGGAGACGGTCACTCTGAAAGATAATGTAAAGATAAAGTCAAGATCACACAGCTAAGATTTTTTTTTTTTTAATCCCATGTCTTGGGTTACATTTGCTTCAGTTAGATATTCTACAAGAAACAGATGCTGCAGATCTCAAGATACTCTCAGCGGTCTGCCAAATGGAGGCGACCAAGGTGAAGTTACGAAGCTTAGTATTGGCTTTGGCTTGGCTTGGCAAGAGATTTCGTGTGTGTATGGAAAATGTGACATAAAGAAGTGGATTGACACTCCCCAAAAATTTGAAATGAAGCCGATTTCATTCCTCCAATAAAACACCGTGAAACACATGAATGTGTCTGTGGAGGGTGGTGGAATTACAAAAGCCTATAAAAAAAAAAAAAAAGGATCGAAATTGTGCGGAAAAAAGTGTTCTCAGGAGTCCAAATGGAAGGAGAAAGTTGAATTGCTGTATGAGTACAAATGCGTCCATTAAAAGTGTTGGGTCTGCTATTCAATTAAGGATTTAAAACCCATTTCACCCAATGATGATTTTGGCAAATTAAGGCAGACAAACAAAGCTCTTGTTCAGCATGCCAAAGAGAGACAAAGAAAAAAATTTGGGGTGAGAATTCACCAGTGAGAGAATGAGGATAGCGGCCCAGCCCCCCCCAGATACACCCCCTGAGTCCTTTTTAAGGATTCAGACCTTTGCAGAAACACACATGCGAGGGGATCAATCACAGGGCCAAGTGTGAAATCAATCATTATTACACAGCCGGGGTAGGGCAACTTGTCTCGCTGTGAGGGCGAGGGGGTGCTCTTCCCTTTGCATTGCCTCCCACTCTTCCCTCCCTCCCGCCGTTCTGGCACAGTGGACGAAAAGGGAGTGGCAGCTCCGGTCACAATGAAGCATGCATCGTACGCTAACAAAGAAGGCTCTCTCTGAACGACTGTTGTTAGCCTCAATACAACCAGTCCCGTTCCCGAGCAGCCGGTTGTGGCCGCGCCCTTCGCTGATCCACTGCAGACCTGCGAAGCGTCCAATCGCAGACTTGAGAAGCAGTCGGGCACTGATATAACTTGGAGCTGGGAATGACACCGTCTTGCTACCCAACTGCGGATACTACAGCTGCAATAATACAGCTCAGAAGCACTGCTCGTTTAATCCTGTGCGTGATCTGAAATCCTCACAGCACAAATTATGAAACACAAGGTTTTATTTTGGGGCGCTGTGTACAATTTTAAGCTCAACCTTTAGAGTAGGGGCATCCAAAATGTTGCCTTCAAGGGCTACATACACAAAAATCGAAGGATACAATTTTGAAATTCTTCAACTTTCATTTATCAACCCCACTACACTAAAACAAGCAATGTTATATTTATTTTGAAAAACAGCTACGTTTTCGCTTTCAGATAAAGGTGCTAAGGTTAAGCGTGAAGAATTTTTCAAAGATTTTGGGGGTGGCTAGCGGCCATGTATTCTACTAGAACAGATCCGTCCGTCCCTGCACTGACTGAGGAGCGGCCAAATCTCCACATTCAGAACCAAAACAAGAGAAATATGTGGGAAACTAAGAACCAGTTTTAAAGCTGTGGCTACTAGGAAAGGAGTATATGTTGAAGTGGTACTGAGAGGGGAGCTAAGTTTAGCCTGGGTCGTGAGTGAAAGTCACAAAGAGGCTACAGCTTTAAGGGTAATGTAAAATTCCTTTAAATGCTCTTAAAGTGTTTATGGAACATATCTTATGGCATACTTAATTTATTATATAAGCAATTATGAACATTGTTGCATGGGTACTTGTAATCCTGCGTGAATCGTGACGGTCTATTATACGTTATAGCATGGACAGCACTAAGCTCCAACAGGTACAAGGAACTACAACTCAAATGTTTGTCATACAGTAAATCTCTATCTTGATTAGACGGGAACAAAAAGAAATAGACCCGTAGGTTCTACGATAAGAGAGAATCACTATTGACTTGAGCGGGTCTTGAAGATGTTTGCCATCTGGCATATGAGCTCAGTAAAATTAGATTATGTTCTACTGAACAGAGGAGGGATTTGTAGCTCACTGTTGACCTGCTTGTGTCCCCCTGCACGAACAACATGACCAAATGACAATTTGCTTCACAAGTCAACGCTCGCATTTTCACACATTCCTCAGACCAGAAGCTTGTAAATTTGGAATTACAGCTGCTGAAAATTTGTATAATCATCGATTTGTTGTCAGCCCACAGGGGCTGCAAAGTGTTTGTGTGTGATTGGACTAAATCTGTGCCAGGCATGAGAGCAATCCTCGTATCATGAGAACCTTTGATAGGATACAGACCAAGCTCAATAGCAACTTTGCAAACTATTGGCTGGCTATCGGTTCAGGGTGTCCCCGCCTACTGCCCGAGGACAGCTGGGATAGGCTCCAGCATGCCCCCGACCGACCCTTGTGAGAATAAGTGGATTAGAAAATGGTTGGTTTGTTGGTTAGAGTAATCTGCTGGACAAACATAGTACCCCACTAACCACAGGGGCTGCAAAGTGTTTGTGTGTGATTGGACTGAATCTGTGCCAGGCATGAGAGCGATCCTCGTATCATGAGAACCTTTGATAGGATGCAGACCAAGTTCAATAGCAACTTTGCAAACTATTGGCTGGCTATCAGTTCAGGGTGTCCCCGCCTACTGCCCGAGGACAGCTGGGATAGGCTCGAGCATGCCCCCGACCCTTGTGAGGATAAGCAGATTAGAAAATGGTTGGTTTGTTGGTTGGAGTAATATGCTGGACAAACATGGTACCTCACTAATATTTAAATTTTGAACAAGTTGACGTGTGAAAAAAATGCTCAAAATGCGTTATTGCACTTAACGTTGGTTTTTGTTCAACTGTTTTGTGCCATCCTTGAATGGTCATTTTTATGCAAGAGAGCACGACTTTTACAGTGTACGACAACTTTTCTTTTTGCGTTAAACAGGTAGCGAGTCCGCCATACTGCACCACACAAAGAATGAAAAGTACGGTCTCCCAAAATGACAAACAACCCTGATGGCCAATACTAGTAAAATTTAGTCACTGAACATTCAATCTGCAGTCCAAAAGCTTCTTTGTTGCTAGGAAAACGACTGTTAGCATTGGGCATTAACCAGCAACACTTTGTTTTCATCCAAATGGAGAATATCCTAGTAACACAAATGAAGTCAGGCGGAGAAGGCTGCCAGATATGACAGTGAGCACTATGATTTAATATGCCGTTTTTATGTGTTCTGTTATTTTGTTATTTTATGTTAACTGTCCTGTAAAGCGGGACCCCCCGGTGGTCCAGTGGTTAGCGCGTCTACCTCATAGTGCAGAGGTACCGGGTTCCATTCCGGCTCCGGCCTCCCTGTGTGGAGTTTGCAAGTTCTCCCCTGCGTGGGTTTTCTCCGGGTACTCAAGTTTCCTCCCACATTCCAAAACATGCATGGTAGGCTGATTGAACACTCTAAATTGTCCCTAGGTATGAGTGTGAGCGTGGATGGTTGTTCGTCTCTGTGTGCCCTGCAAATGGCTGGCAACCGATTCAGGGTGTCCCCCGCCTACTCCCCATAGACAGCTGGGATAGGCTCCAGCGCCGCCCGCGACCCTTGTGAGGATAAGCGGATCGGAAAATGGATGGATGGATGTCCTATAAAGCGCAATATAAATAAAGATGTATTGTATTGTATTGTATATAAATGATCCATAATAAAATATCCAAAGAAGGATTACTCCTCAATTTGTTCCACGATCCATCCAGTCTGTGGCTGGATGGTTGGATGGCTTGTGGAGCCGATGATGAGAAGAAAGGAGGGTCAGCACAGAGTGCAGATGCGTATGTGGAACTGGCAGTCGCCGGTTGGAATTGAAGCGGATTTACATGGGACAGGAGATGTGAGCAAATCTCTTTTTCGTCAATGGATGCTACAGCTTCTTGTTTGCTTTCAAACTTAGCTTGTAGCAGACGTTTGCACATTTTTCAGCATGACATCTTTGATCCACTGGTGAAAGGACACTTTGATTCTCTCCTCTTTCATCTAGAACTGCTTCAAACAACAAAGCGTATGCAGAAAAAGTGATTACGATTGCACGACTATCTGTGTCTTTGTGTTGCGTTGTATTATTTTTGTGTTGTATTATTTTGTCATTTTGTGTTTACTGTTCTGTTGATGGCGGCGCGGGTACGCGCAGCGGCTCCTCTCCCTCCTGTGGTTGAGAGGAAAGAAATTTAATCTGTGCTGTATGTCGCACATCGAGCACATTTGACAATAAAGTTGACTTGAACTTGAACTTGAAATCAGGACAAAGGAAATGTAAGTCCATCCATTCATCCATTTGCAACACCGCTTATCCTAAAGAGGGTCATGCGGATTGCTGCAGCCTATCCCAGCTGACTTCGGGCGAAAGGTGGAATAACCTCTGAACTGGTCGCCAGACAGTCAGTCACAGGGCACACATAGAGACAAACAACCACACACACCCACATTCACACCATCACTGAGTGGGAACCGATCCCACGCTGCCCGCACACAAGTCAGGCAAGTGTACCACTACACCATCAGTGACCCGGGAAGGGTAAGTGGATAGTAAAATATCCTGTATCATTTTACAATAAAGGTATCTACATGAATGGTATACGTATTGGTTCATAAATCATTTGCTGAAACATAACTAGTTCACCATATGTAATAAATATGACTTCTTGCCAAATAGTCCCACCTTTAGTTTTGCAATTTTGCTCTTTTGCACATTATAACTGGTAGCACCTGAGCAGTCACTCATGATTTCTTGAACTGAATGAGTGAATGCAAACAACCACACACACCCACATTCACACCGTCACTGAGTGGGAACCGATCCCACCCTGCCCGCACACAAGTCAGGCAAGTGTACCACTACACCATCAGCGACCCAGGAAGTGTAAGTGGATAGGAAAATATCCTGTATCATTTTACAATAAGGGTATCTACATGAATGGTATACGTACTGGTTCATAAATCATTTGCTGAAACATAACTAGTTCA